CCCCAAAACCCCAAAACCCCAAAACCCCAAAACCCCAAAATCTCAAACTTTATTGAATCCTCACATAATTACATCCTTTACTTACTTCATGCTTGCTCTCTTCTTCAATGAGTTATTTGATTTCTTAAGATTCTCTAAAAATGCATCTGCAGATCCTTGAACAATAAAGGACTTTTTATTCCTTTTAGATTTTCCTTGATTGTGATTGGCCTTTTGATTGCCTTTAAAATGAGCCATCAGAGCTCTTTCTTTATTCTTATCCATTGAGAAATTCAGAGAGGGTAATTTCTTTAAACCTGGTTTAAAATATCTATTCTTTGGATCCTTCCTCACTTGTGTGGGAGACACTACAGATGAAAATTAATCGTACCTTGGCTTATCAAAGGTTTTGAGTACTTATCAATATGAGGCAGAAGGCTCATATTGTGACTATTCCCATTATCCATGACTCAGATCTGGTCTCTAGCAGGTTTCTGGCTCCAATGGCCAAATAATTTCTTCAAGATTAAATCATACTTGCTCGAAGACTGAAGTAGCCCAGCATCTGCGCTCATATTATGGGATGGAAGCATTTTTACTGGATTAGCTATGATTGAATTGGCTCTTCTTTGATTATGTAAAGCGAACACCTCTTCCTTCATGCTACAATTGAGTTAGATTAAGGAGTGCTAAAATATACCTCTTTTTATTCTTCTTTACACCTTTGAAAGATCCCTTTGATGCATAATTCTTCATATATATTGATACCTTAGAAGGAGCAGGACTTATTCCCTCCTTTCTAGGGGTAATATCATGCTTCTTCGTTGGAAAGATAGGGTTGATGGGTATTAAGTCACGGTCTGTCTTGCTCCTATCCAAGAAACCACTGAATTCTCCCTTTTTAATCTTAAAACTAGTCCCGATTTCCTTCTCCATTGGAATTTTATTTGGCAGTATTGTTCATTGATAATCTCTAAAAATACTTTATAGATTTACCTTTGTAAACTGATTTTTAGCCAAACCCTTCAATTCACCACACTGGCTGGGAACTAAATCAGGAAGACTACTTTCGCTGTTATTCCTCGTCAAAGAGCCCTCTTTGATTCCTTGTATCACCTCATTTTCATTCCTATATACAGCTTGCTTTAGCAACTTGTCTTTCATTATAAAGTTGCCATTTGGTAAGATATTACTAATAACACCTGGATAGACCTTCTTGCGTTTTGGGTTGAGGTTTCTCACAGAGGCTACCACTAGGGCGTTCGCATTCTGCAAGTAATCAGGCATTTGTGAAGATCCCAAATTTTTATTCATCTCAATATTATATATTAATAATGGGGTTTTGGGGTTTTGGGGTTTTGGGGTTTTGGGGTTTTGGGG